GGCCGATGAGGTAAAACACCCTCATCAACGGAAGGTGTCGACCGGAAGGAGGAAATCCTTCCGGTCATGGGAGCGGGAGTGACGACTCCCAAACCCCCTCAAGCATGAGGGGCGGTTTGGGGCGCCGACTCCCAAAAATAAATTAAAAAAATAAAAAAAAACATTTGATGGCCGACTCCCAAAGTCGGCCATCTTTTGGAAGAACGACTCCCAGCCGACGACCCCTCGACCAAAACGGGAGTCGTTGGCAAAAATTTGGGAGTCGTTTTTCCAACCCCCTTTTTTATAATGGTTATTCCATCAAGAGGTCTTCTAAATTTTAGAACACATACCCATCAGCAACCACATGGATACCACTGAGTCCAGTCCAGAAGCCACACAGCACTGCTGCCAATGGGAACAGTGTAGGAGGAGAACATATCAAACCAATCTACAACTACATGCCACCAAAAGACAATGTGAACAACAGGACTGAATCATGCCGGTTTTTTTTGCCCATAGTGGTTGATTTATCATTCTTGTTTTTATATTCTTCTTGGATCCTCTCTGATGAGGTTAAGTTTCAGTAGCTACATCAAGTGTTTGGATCTGAGTGTCTTGATTCCTTTTACTGGTCTGAATTTGGGGATCAGACGCCATTGTGGTTGGTGGAGGTGAAGAATTTGCTGGTTGGTGGTGGTCAGGGGGATAGGGTATAGATAAGATTGGTGTGTTGAAGGTGTGAGATGTGAGTCAACCAAAAAACACAAAAGGGCAGCAAATTTAGGAGGACATCAAAAGTGAGTTCATTTTCTATTTGCTGAAAAAATAGCAAATAGAAAACAATAAATAGCCCACTTTCTAAACTGATGGGAAGTCCTCCACTAAGGAGGACCTTGAATGATAGCATCTATCTGGAGAAAAAAAAAAGAAAAACTTGACAATTAATAATGAATTTTAGATATACTTCAAGTTTTCAAAAGCCCATAGTGTCAGCCTCTGGGTAACTAACCTGAGTATTTAATAGTAAAAAGGTTGTTACTATGAGTTGACTGAATTTTTTGAGCGTGGTGAGTGTTAGGTAGTGGGTGATTAATACCAGTCCTGTAAAGAGGAGGTTTCACTCTATCAGTATGGTCTTTACTGAGAGGCTTGCTATCAACAGCGCATCCGGATCAATACAAGGTATTAATAGGCATCCAGGGTACTAAGACTCACCTGGGATTGATTTGGTTATTCCCCAAAAGGGAATGGGCTAACAATACTTATTAAGCTTTAACAAAATTAGTTGAAGATTAACAGGTATTGTTAATGGGAATATTCAGCAAGGCTATGAATATTGTGGATAAGTTGAGTAAGAGTACTGAAGCTTAAGAACAATAAATGTAGACAAGATTTATGTTGGTTACGTGTACTGTATCAATATAAATGTTAACTGGTTTAACTGGTGTCTGAATATTCTGGGGATTAATCAGTGAAAGAGGCACGGATTATAAGTTCCAGAATACTGAAGGGGGGAAAGAATGAGCGCTCAGAATCAAGGGAGCTTTGGCCAGGAGAATGAGCACATCAATTGAGTGACTGATCATTATTTGTCATGATCTGTAAGTGACATCATAATTGTGTACTAGTTGATCAATGTACTAGTTGCTCTTGATGTGTACTTAACAGATCCTCTAATAATGTAGTCATAATTGTGATCAGTGCATGTATTGAATGTATTAATTCTATTGACACTTAATACTTACTATTTAATACATGTACATATTTATTTGTAATAATATTTGCCCGTGAAAATACTGTAGACCAGGGATAACTTGTGGTACAGGTATTTCACGGACACAGGAGTGAAAGGTAAGTGATAATTACTTATGTATAAAACAGATATGTATTTAATGGATAAGTAATTAACAGATAAGATAAATGTAAGATAAATAAGATAAGTTAATAATAATGATAAGATAACAAGAGGTAAAGGTAATCAACATTATGGATAAGTACTTATGTACATAAGTACAGGTAATGGCAGTTACTTGGTACATGAAAGGTACTGTGACACCTCAACGGTGGCTGACACATAGGGAGAAAAAAA